CGCTATACTTTTTGATAGCCGGGCACCATCAGCTTTCTTCGCCGGAAAATTTTTTCAAAGGAAAAAAAAACCCCTCCAGATTCCTTACCCATCGGATCTAAACATTGGGCTGAGTGGCTATAAAAAGTGGAAGAGTAAAATGAACAGGGTCTTGGATTCTTTCTGACATACAAGTTCGTTTCAAACCAAAAAAGGCCACCGCCTTTTATTGAACTGGTATGTTTGGAGGTGCCCCAGGAGAGACTGGGGGGGTGGTCACTGAATAAACTGCCATCAGTTGATGCTGACGCTTAGCAACCCTATAGAGCAGAGTAGAACCGCCTCACTCTGCTGAACAAAAGCCTCATCTTTTTCCCACGGAACGGCTGGTGGGTTCAAACTTGCTGTGCATGTGGTCAGCAGTTCAACCTGTAACCCTACACCACCAGAGCTCCTGATGCTTGGCTACCTCTCCTGAGTCTACACTTCAGCCGCCACTGTCAGTTTCTTGTACTGTCCCGGCTTGCTGTTGCTCTGATGCTGGAAGTGATGCCAGCGGCATTTCAGAGGCCAGCGGAATCACTCGCATGGACAGGGTTCAGCAGAGCTTCCAGACTTTACCAGATTAAGGGGAAAGGTCTGGCGATCTAGTTTCCAAAAAATCAGCCAGTGAACACTTGAAGGATCACAAGATAGCACAGGACCAAGTAATGGCTCATTCTTTCATGCATAAGGTTACTATGAGTTGCAGCCTACTAGCTGACAAATAACAATTCTACGTTTGGTAAAATTAAGGTCCAGAAGGTAAGGAGATAGCCCAGGGTCACAGCTGGGTTAGACAAATGTTACACTATTCTGGAGGGGAAAAATGAGACTGCTCATGTAGCAGGGAAAGCTAATATAAATCAGGGCTCTACCTCTTTCTTCCTCCAGACCTGTGGACAGACACCAATAACCAATCAAACGACCTCCCTGTTTTCCCAGGCCATTTCCAAATCCCTAAAATAGTGCTTCTGGAAGGCACATGGATGGATGGAAGTTCTATTAAGCAGTTCTATTAAGCACTTCTGAACTCTAGCCCAAGCCCCTTGTTTGGCAGAGGTTAAGTGCCTCGCTCAAAGTCACACAAGTTTGTGGCAGGACTGGAAGACCTCCGGTCTACAGATGCCCAAGCAATGCTCTTTTCTCTGCATCACCTGGGTCCTTCTTAAGACAAGTGGGCCTGCGGGTCAGCATTTGGAGAGACACAGAGAAGGGAGAGCTTGGAAAAGGGGCACTACTTGGGCAACCAGGAGTCGAACTACCCAGCCTCCTAGCCTGAGAGTTGGGCTTTGCTGAGTGCCCAGTGGTCATTCCAGCCACTGCCTAAATCAAGCAGTGCCCCCGCTGACCTCCCGCCAGGCACTGGGCCAAACCCCTATCTGTGTGTCTCCATCACAGGAAAGCCAGCTCCACTCGGAGGGACCTGCTTGGATATGCTTGCTGTGCTAGCCCAGTGTTTAGCATATCCTGGGTGCCTCCCTCGTAAGGAGCCCTCCAGTGCAGTAGGTTAACTGCTAACCAAAAAATTGGCAATTTGAACCTACTAGCTGCTCCCTAGAAGAAAGATGAGCCAGCCTGCTTGCATGAAGATATGTAGCCTTGGAAACCCTGGGGAGCAGCTGACTCTGTCCTGCAAGTTGAAGAGTCAGAATTGACTCGATGGCAGTGGTTTGGGTTCCGTTTGAGGCTTGGGCATCTAGTAGGTGTTTAGTAAGTGTGGGGTTAACTAATGGGAAGTTTAAACAGAACTGGATTCATGGTTCAGCTTCCCACCTCCCTGGGTGCACTCACCTGGTTCCTGGGTCTGCCACCAGCACATCATCCTTGAGCAGGTTCAGGGCCTCCTGGGTGCTGCCCCTCCACAGCAGAGAAGTAGAGCGGAGCCTTCTGGGAAGCCCTAGGAAGGAGTACAGGTCAGACCTGCTGGGACGCGGCAGTGACGGTGGAGGGTGGGATAGTGGGTCTCTTCCAGTGGAGTTGTACATTTTACACACCTGCCAGTCACATAACCTCTCTAAGCCCTGGGCTGCCCCTCTGTACTTGGGGGAAGTTACTTCCTGTAACTCAGGACGCCTATGAGGTTAATTGGTGGTGGTTGCTGGTCGGAGTCAGCCCCAGCTCACGCAACCCGGCACACAGAAGGAAACCGTGAAGCAGTGCCCGGCCTGCTGGGAATCAGGAATCAGG